GGTTTGTTATATATGGCTTTAATTATGTTGAAGTATGTTCCCTCCAGTCCAATTCTCTCTAGGACTTTGAACATAAATGCGTGTTGAATTTTGTCAAAGGCCTTCTCTGCATCTATTGAGATGACCATGTGGTTCTTGTCTTTGAGCCCATTTATGTGATTTATGATGTTTATTGACCTACGTATATTGAACCATCCCTGCTTCTCTGGGATAAAGCCTATGTGATCATGGTGGATGATCTTTTTGATGTGTGTCTGTATGCGGTTTGCAAGTATCTTGTTGAGAATTTTTGCATCTATGTTCATTAAGGATATGGTTCTATAGTTTTCTTTTTTGGTTGTATCTTTACCTGGCTTTGGTGTTAGAGTGATGCTGGCTTCATAGAAGGAATTTGGAAGTTCTCCCTCCATTTCTATCTTTTTGAATAAATTAAGTAGTATTGGATGTAGATCTTTTTAAAAAGTCTGATAGAATTCTGCTTTAAAACCATCTGGTCCTGGGCTTTTTTTATTAGGGAGGTTTTGTATTACTGTTTCAATTTCTTTTGTGTTATGGGTCTGTTTAAGCTGTTAATCTCTTCTTAGTTTAGTTTTGGTAGTTTCTGTGCCTTTAGATATCCATCCATTTCTTTTAGGTTTGCAAATTTAGTAGCATATAGGTTTTTAAAGCATTCCCTTATAATGTTCTGTATCTTTCTGGTGTCTGTTGTGATGATTTCCCTTTCATCTCTGAATTGGTTGATTTGGTGGGCTCTTTCTTTCTTTTGCTTAACTGGGCTAGCGGTCTGTCAATCTTGTTTAATTTTTCAAAGAACCAGCTCTTAGATTCATTGATTCTTTGTATTGTTTCCTTTGTTTCAATTTCTTTAACTTCTGCCCTGATTTTTGTTATTTCTTCTTGTCTGCTGGGTTTGGGTTTCATTTGCTGTTGCTTTTCAAGTGCGTTGAGTTACAACATTAAGTCATTTATTTGTCTTCTTTCTGATTTTTTGATGTAGGCACTTAGAGCTATAAAGTTCCCTCTAAGGACTACTTTCCTTGTGTCCCAGACGTTTTGGTGTTTTGTCCTGTCTTTTTCATTTAATTCCAAGAATACTTTTATTTCTTTCTTAATTTCTCTTTTGACTCATTCATCATTCAGGAGTGTGTTGTTTAATCTCCATGTGTTCTTGTGGTGATTAGGGCTTCTTCCAGTGTTGATTGTAAGCTTTATTGTATTGTGGTCTGATAGAATGCATGGAATTATTTCAGTCTTTTTCTATTTGTTGAGGCTTGTTTTGCACCCCAGTATATGGTCGATTTTGGAGAAGGTTCCATGGGGTGCTGAGTAGAAAGTATGTCCTTTCGTGCTTCGGTGGAATACTCAGTAGATGTCTGTTAAGTCCATTTGATGTACAGTATTGTTTAATTCAGATGTCTCTCTGTTAACTCTCTGCCCTGTTGCCCTATCTAATTGAGACAGTGGGGTATTGAAGTCCCCTACTATTAATGAGTTGGGATTAATCTGGGTCTTAAAGTCCTGTAGTATTGATTTTATGAAGTTGGGTGCACCAGAGTTTGGTGAATATATCTTCATGATTGTAATATCTTCTTGATTTTTTGTTCCTTTGATCAGAATGAAGTGGCCCTCTTTATCTCTTCTGATTAGTTTTAGTTTAAAGTCTATTTTCTCAAATATTAGAATTGCTACACCTGCTTTTTCCTTAGTACCATTTGCTTGGTATGTATTTTCCCATCCTTTCACTTTAAGATAGTGTCTTTCCTGGAAAGTGAGAGGAGTTTCTTGCAGATCAAAAAAAGATAGGTTTTGGTTATTAATCCATTCACCTAGCCTGTGTTTTTTTACTGGTGAGTTAAGTCCATTAATATTTAAAGTTATTAATGAAAGATGAGTATTGAATCCTGTCATTTTTATTTCTGTTTACATTCTTTATGTAGCTGTACTTTTCCACAATTATACCTTCATTCAATTTCTTTCTGCAACCATTTGGGTATAGTCAGTCATTTCTTCAGCTCCCTGTGTTGCTTCCAGAACTCTCTGAAGGGCTGGTTTTGTGGACATGGATTCCTTCAGCCTATTTATGTCATGGAATATTGTTCCTTCCCCTTCGACTATAATAGACATTTTGGCTGGGTATATAATCTGGGTTGGCATCTGTGGTCATTTAAAACTGGGAATACTTTTGTCCAGGCTCCTCTGGCTTTCATAGTTTTCACTGAAAAGTCAGCTGTAATCCTAATGTGTTTTACTTTATATGTGACTTGTTTTTTCTCTTTTGCAGCTTTAAGTATTGTCTCTTTGTTTTGTATGTTTACGCGCCATGGTGAGTTTCTTTTCTGGTTCTGTGTGTTTGGTGTGCTATATGCTTCTTGTATTTGTATGGGTATGTATTTCTTTAATTTTGGGGAATTTTCTTCCATGATTCTGTTAAAGATCTGGTCCATGCTGTTATCTTGGGATTCTTCTCCTTCCTCTATGCCTATGATTCATAAGTTTGGTCTTTTTATGTTGTCACACAATTCCTGCATATTCCATTCTTGTGATTTCTTAAATTTTTCATAATCATTCCTTGAGTGGTCTAGTACATCCACTTTATCTTCCAGTCGATACTCTGTTTTCCATTTCATTCATCCTATTGGTGAGGCTTTCTCCTGTTGTTTCTAGTTGGCCTACTGAGTGTTTCACTTCTTTCTTCATTTCAGCCTGAGTATTATTCAGTATTTCTAACTCTTTTCTGAATTCATTCAGAAGTTTATCCCTATCTTCCTTCAGTTCTTTGATTTCTTTGTTTGTGTGTTCTTTAAACTCACCGAATTCTTTTATCATGTTTATAATTGTTCTTTTGAGTCCCATGTCCTGTGTTATCTCTGAGGGATTCTCACTGTACTCCTATAGAGGACTATTGGTACTTGGTGGGGATATGTTATTTTGTTTTTTCATGTTATTGTTGTTATTTTTCTCTGTGATTTTGACATGTGAATTTCTTTTGTAGTTTCTGATTCTTGTGTGAGATTCAAGCCTTCAAGTTACATCTGCTTCTTTTTTTGAACTTTATGTGTCTTTGTTGTTTATATTTTGGGCACGCAAGGCTGGTCCCTTTAAGCTTCCAGTTCTCTCTTTTGATTTTATAGTGTAGTGGCCAGATTGGTTTTGTCTTCAGGAGTTTCCACAGAGGCCCAATTCAGCTGAGGATCAGATGCTCTCAGGCTTTCTACTTAGGTCTGGATCCATCCAAGGATAGATTTTGGCCTCAGGTATTTGGGTGTTGGACTGGCCTGGGAGCCAGGGCCAGGAAAGATGCTGGTCTATGGCAGCTTGTGGCCGTGCCACCCAGAGATGCAAAGGAAGCTGGGTGTGGAGGCTGCCCCACGTCCCCCTTGGGACTGCACTGAGGAGCTGGGTTGTTCTGGATGCAAAGGACCAGGAAGAGGAAAAGTCAGCCCCAGCTTCCAGGAAAGAGGCTGGTGGGTTGTACAGACCCAGGGAGGCAGAAGGAGGTGAGGGTGGGGCTAGTCCCAGAAGCAGTGCTCCTGGGGACTGGAGAAGGAACTGAGTTGCTCTGGAGGCAAAAGATCAGGAAGAAGCAGTGGTGGTTCCCCAGGTATCTGGGACGCCAATTCAAGGAATGGGACAGGACCCAGGCTAGGAGGAGAGACCAGCAGGGAAGATGGGAGGGTGAGTGAGGCTGG